TTCTCCTTTTCTTCTCCCTTTTTCCTTCTGCTTCTTCTCCTTCCTTCCTTCCTTCCCTTCCTTCCCTTCCTTCCTCCCTCCCCTGCCCTTTCCTCCTTTTCTTCTGTCCCTTCCTCTTTGATTCTTCCTTCCCTTCCTCCTTGCCTCCGCCTCGCTTACGTCCCTGTCCCTCTTCTCTTCTTCCTCCTTCGCTTTCTTTTCCCTTTCTTCCTCCGTTTTACTCCTCTCCCTCCCTCCTTCCTTCCTCTCTTCTTTTCCTCTCTTCCCTCTTTCCTTCTTCGCCGCCCTCCTTCCTCCTTTCCTTCCTTCCTTCCTTCCCTCTCTCCTTCCTTCTCTTTCTTTTCCGCTTTCCTCTTTGTCCTTTCTCCCTTGTTCCTCCTTGTCCCTCTCCGCTTCCCCCTTGTGCTTCCTTCCTTCCCTCCCTCCGCTCGCCTCTGTGCCTCCCCCTCTTTCCTTGGCCTTCCTCTCTGCTTGTTTTCCTTTCCTTCCTTTTTCTCCCTCCCTCCCCCTCCTCTCCCCTTCCCTCCCCCCTCCCTCCTTTCCCTTCCTTCCTTTCTTCTCTTTTTTTCCTTTTCTTCTGTTCTCCTCCCCTCCCTACTCCTCCTCTCCCCTCCTCTCCCTTCCCTGCCTTCTCTCCCTCCCTCCCTCCTTCCCCTCCTTCCTTCCCTTCCTCCTTCCCTCCCTCCCTCCCTCCCTCCCTCGTTCTCTCCCTGCCTCTTTCCCTTTATTTCACTCTAATAAGCACCAATGAGTGTTCTGACAGTGACTGAGCGGGTGGTCCTCCCCCACCCAAGGGAACAGACTCCTCTTGATGCTTCCCTTGATCTCCATTTGATCGCATTGCAATGCAGTTCTGAAAAGACTTTTAATTTTCATCATTTTTAACTTTGAAAAAAGGTATTATGCCATAAAGTTTTTAAAAATAAGTTTTTAAAAGAACAATATTAGGTTTACAGAAAAATTGAGAAGATAGTACAGAGCTTGTATAATCTTTTGGACTTTTTTCTCTCAAAATTTTATTGCTATTTTGGAAAACAGTTTGGCATGGATTGCAAAGTTGTGCCTTCACAAGCCTTGTTGGGAGGAAACCCAGCAATTCCTGTCCTAGGTGTGTATGAGGCTGTTCCTAGCAGTGTTGTTCCTAGAATCAAAACATTGAAAATAGCTCAGATCTTGTCAACAGAAATAAATAGATGAATACATTGGGATATGTTTATACATTGGGATATTGTAGAGCAGTAAAACTGAGTAACAGCAGACAACAAAGATAGAGATGAATCTTACCAATTTAATTTTGAATGAAAATGAAGGGATGGCTAAGATCTTTTCCCTCTTCAGTATATAGGGACTTGAAAAAGCTGTCCTGGAGTTTGGAGCAGATTCAGCTAAAGGCCATCACATTTTGGGAACAGAATGACGAAAGTCAACAGAACACAGCGAGTCTCTGCAGGAGAACCACCCGAAGGCATGGCTCTGAGCTGGAGAAAGGGCCAAGCCTGACTAATGAGTCAAGGTGGCCGGAGCTGACTACCTGTAGAAAGGCAAGGTATGTCTCAGCTGAGGCCAGACGGACCTGTGTGTCAGGAGCCTTGGCCAGGGAAACTGGCTCCCTGGGATAGGCTGGCGAGAGAAAGACCCTGAAGTTGGCTGCACAAGGATTGCGGTCACCAGAGAGTAGGTCCAGAGCAGGGCAGGGAAGTTTCTCCAAATGCCGCCCCAGCTGAACAAATTGTCCCTCAACCCATCCAATTTCCATGCTCACCTAGCAACACTCATATTTCCAAAAATAATTTTTATTACAAAACAGTACATGCTTATAAAAGAAAAAATAAAAAATGCATAAAGTAGAAAAAAGGAATAAAAATCATCCATGCCTTCACCACTCATGGTTACATTTGGGAATATTTTATTTCAGTCTTTTTCATATACTGATAATCAGATTGTACCCATTACTTTAACTGATGTCTTTTATCCAAGCACATTTTCCCATTATATACCCTTTGCAATTGCCGTATTTTTGGAATGTGTAACAGTCATTGAGTAAAGTCCATCCATCCACCCATCCATCCATCCATCCACCCATCCATCCATCTATTTATCCATCCATCTGTGTCACTTCCCCTTCATAGACTATTTTCTATACAGAAAATAAAAATATGTCAATGGCTGTCCTCCAAGGGTTGGCTATTTTGGCTGTTTCTAGGCTTTCACTATTATAAATAATCTTGCCAGGAATAACTCGGTACATAAAGCTTTTTCAATATTCAAATTATTTCCTTAGAAGACATTCTTAGAAGTGACATTATTAGATCAAAGGGTTTGCATATATTTAAGGCTCATGATACGGCCAGGATGCTTTCCGAACATATGGCAATGATTTACCCTACTGCAGGCAGCCTGTGATCAAGCCCATTTCACTGCACCCTTACAAGCATTGAGTAGTCTAATTTTTAAATAGCTCTGCTAATTTCTGATGATCAGTTGAAGGCAATCAGTGGTATCTTAAACAGGAAAGGAGCCATCCTGGAATATTAGGTCCTGGGAAAGCTCTATCCTTCAGTGTGAGTAGTTATGCTGTGATCTGATTGATTACTAGACTGTTATCATTTTACTGTGTGTTAGCCAGGCCCCTGGGCAGGAGGATGACATGTAGTTCCAGCGTCAGCAGCACTGAGGCCCAGACTCAGACATTTAAAGGCCAAAGAATCCAGCCAGGCATCACTTTGATTTCTCTTAATTGCAGTCCTTTCTGGAGAAACAGATTTGGTAGAAGGAAGGAAGGAATATGAAGGTTCCAGCCACTGGGGAAGGCCATTGTCAACCACACAGCATCTATTCTACTCCTGTCTTCTTCCCACTAGGAGAACTGCAGTTTGTTTAGGCAGTTGTGTGGATTCACTGATCTCAGGGAAGGAAAGCCCCAACCCCAGCCCTACAGGATGAATCATGATTGGACTAAAGCAAGCATTATAATATAATCCCTACTGGCCATTCATTGGTGACTGCAGTCTTGGCCAAAGCAATGTCAGAAAAAATTGGCTGTGTGGGACAGACTCAGCTGGCCTCCTGCCTGGGATGCAAATGGAATGCCAGGGGTATAGCAGCCACCTTGTGACTATGTGTTGATGAATGTTAGGACAAAAGCCAACACACCAAGAACGGCTGAACAGAAAAACAGATAGAGCCTGTGTCCCTGAACAGCTGATTCACTCCTCGACTGCCTCTTCTCAGACTTCTTGTTACATAGAAAAATAAACCTCATATTTGTGCCACTTTGGTTGGCTTTTTGTTTACTTGCATTTTAATGCATTCCTGGTATTAATCAGGACAGGTAATGCTAGCTTCTATAACAAACACTTCCCAATCTCAATGGCTAAACACAATAAAGTTTTATTTCTCACATTCGTCACAGTCTGAGGAGGGTCCATGCAATGACTCAGGGATCTAGGCACCTTACATCTTACGACTTTATCTTTTTTAACACAGGGTCTCTGGGGTTGCCATGGACAACCATGCACATGATTTTATGGCCAATCCTGTAAATAGTATGTGTCACTTCTGTTGATATTTCTTTGGCCAAGACCCTGGCATATCGCCTCCAGCTCACTGCAAGGGAGGCTGGAAGACATAGTCTTCCTGTGTGCCCAGGAAGAAGAAATGGGATTAGTGAGCTGGTAGCCAGTCTTTACTACACACTCATTGAAAGGGAAAAATCCCAAAGATGAACATGTTTACATGACAATTTGCCAAAGACCCATCTGGGAATGGTGTTCCTGATCTGGCAAGCCAGACTGGCTTAATGCGTAGTGGCTGAGCTGGGCCTGATGATTGTCAGTCTGTCGTCTGCATCTGAGGTTCACCTTGCCAATTTTTAATCCTGTGAAAAGTGATACTGACATTTCCCAAGAGTGTGTTTTAAAGAATAGTAAGACTTTTTAAAAAATTTGTACATCTTTAAGAGATGCATTCCCTGTAGCGTGGTTTGAAATGTATAGGCAGGGTTGAAATTGCCTTGGTCAGGTTGACTTCTCTTAGTTTTTTTTTCATAAACCCACTCATTAACAGCCATGAGCACAGGTTTTGTGCATAACTCTGGGCTGCGCTTGGGACCCAGGCACAGGCGTGTTGGGTTGCTGTCCTCCAGGAACTTGCCAACTGGCCAATATGTGTGTCTACACATAAGGGAGAAAGGGCAGGAGGGGGCCAGGAAGGGTGCTGTGGCTGAGAACCCAAGTTGTGTTGAACCACACATGTTTACATGGGAAAGCTTGCTGCTCAGGGCAGTGCTGACCTGAGGGGTGGCCTCTCAGAAATTCTGATGCCATCATCCATTCATTTCATCGGTTGTATGGGCAAAATGCTGAGAATGGTGTCTGGAATATGGCACTTTATTTTCATTAGTCCATTTGTTCATTCAGCAAACAGGAAAGGGCGCCTGTTATGTGCGAGGCCCTGGCTAGCTCTGAGGACAGGGAGAGAGCCCACTGTGAGGCTGTAAATCTGGCAATCATGTCCAGCCGCAAAGCTGACCAGATTGACAATTACAGCACAGGGGTGAGGATAGTGCTATTGATTATGGAAACATGCAAGAAGGGAACCTAATGCTTCACTGGGGTTAGGGTGGCCTTCCTGGAGGAGGTGGCTTCTAAGTAGAGCTTTAAAGGATGAATAGGAGTTGGCCAGGCAGAAATGGTAGATAATTTGCAGAGCTCAGTGCAAAGCAGGAAAAAAGTGCCTCTGAAGATACTAAAATATAAAGCTTTTCCTTTCTTCCAGTCTCTTTCTAGACTTACCGTGGTATTTAAAATTTGCTATTTAATGATGTTCTAAATAAAGAAAATTAAAAATTTAAATTGTTAGCATGAATTTTACCATTCATTCTTTACATTGCATGATGTCAGTTTTGAATAGAAATATAAGAGCATCTAACTCGTGCACAGAATCCCTGAATGGCACAACTTGCTTTTTGTATTTCTTGCATTCATATGTGTTTCATTCTTACAAGAATAGTGGAGACCCTCAACTGTTTTTATTTTGCTCTTTGATATAATCACATTCTGCCAACACTCACTGCCTTCACCTTACTGATGAGTTAGGAAGAATTGAAGGGAAGAAACTAGGGCTGCACTGCCTTTGCCTTCCCTCTGAGTCGTCATTTTCAGCCCGAGAGGTTGGCTAACTCGGGGAAGCGACAGTATGAAAGGATAAGATAAAGTCTCCTCGGTTATTCGCGTTTCTAAGAATGCCATTGTTTTCTTCCAGATGGAAGCCGGTTCTGGTTTGAAGGGAAAGTGTGGCCTCTTAGGTCCGTAAATGTCCTGCTCACGCAGCGTGTCCTTGTGTTCCAGGCAAGGCTCACTGAACTCCCGTCCTGGGCTCACCAGAATTTGATGCTTACCAAGCGACAAGGAACAGAGGACACAAGTTCAAAGATGAAATTAAGAATTTCAAGACGGTGACAGCAGAATAGTAAACCAAGCCTGGGTCCCTCCTGAGCCCGGGGCTTCACGTGCAAAGTGCATGTGTTGTGGACGCCCGGTGGTGAGCCTGAGACAGCAGAAACCGAGGCCGCCATGCATCTCGAACGTGCCTCCTCTGCTCCCACGCGTGCTTGACCCATCTGGACTTCACTTACAAAACGTAAGTTTGAATATGCGATTATTAATAACTGCAAGATGGCAACAGGAGAGTATGAAACCAAAAGCGTAGCCCTTCTGAGTGGGACCCTGTGCGACTGTACAGGTCACCGATGGCCAGGTGACAAGATATGCCATGGAGAAACTGCATGAAGGCCCAACGCGTGCCCATGTCCTGTGTCTCCCTTTGTCATTTGTAGGGTGTGGGGATCCCTGTACCCCACTCTTTCCTGTCCTCCTCCTCTTGCCCCCATCCACTCTGCCACTGCTCTCCCATAGCTCCGGGTCCCCCAGAGCTAAATGCTTGGCTTTGGGGATGCAGGGCCCCCGCCAATGGGCCTGGCAGTGGGCCTGCTCTAGGAGCACTGCAGTAGGCAAGGCCACCTGCCTTGTGGCTGCCACCCACCCAGGGCTGCGGAAAGGCCTGGCCGAAAGAGGGCTGGGGGAGCCTGACTGGAGCGGGGGCCTCTCCTGTGACCGACACCAAGGCTGTCCAGAGTGCCTGGGGAGCCCAGCAAGGCCTTGCCACACCCCCTGCAGCCTCCGGTTTGGCCCCTGCCTCTTGCCTTCCAGCCCAAACCCCTCCACCCTGTAGCCAGGGAAGTCTTTCAGAAGCACACATTGGGTGGTTTGGGTCATCAGCCTTGGCTGGTGTGACAGGGTCGCAGTGGCCGGCCCCTGTTCACCTCTCCAGTCTCATCGCCAGAGTCTCTTTCCAACTGTCTGACCCGGGCCAGTCCCTCCGGAGGGAGCGTCGTGGTGTGTGCTACCAGGATCGGGAGGTCCCATGGTGGGATGCTGTAAACAGGGGCTTCAAGGGAGCACAGAACGGCTCAGGTACCAGGCAGCCAGACCCCAACTCTCAGTTCTGCTGAAGCCACGGGATGCCTGGGTGTTGAAGTAGACCTGGTGCAGAGACACAGAGTGCCAGCATGTCTGGAGGGGAAGCAGGGATGGGAGAGATGTCGGGGACAGAGACTCATTTCTGGCTGAGCACCTGGCTCATCTCATCCTCTGCCTTTTGTCTGAGCTGACCGTAATTAGTCCTCTTAGTTCCCTGCGGGTGAGCCAGGCTGTGCAGGGGTTCAGAAGACCTGAAGCACATCTTCTCATCCTGGTCCAAGCTGGACTATTTCTGGCAGTTTAATTGTGGATGCTGTGTTCCTGGCGTGAGAAGGAAGGCAGGAAGGACCTGGAGGAAGTTGGAGCAGGAGGGAAACTCTGGCGGCGTGACTTTTCCAACCATGGCCCCTTAGGAACAGGCTGCTCCTGGCAGCTCAGCTATTCTGCTGCCACCTATTCTAGCTCGTGGCAGGAAGCTGGCTTAGCTGGGAGGGGAAGCTTCTTGTTAGACTCAAGGGACCAAAGTGCATTTGCAGAAGAGCCATTGAGATCTGTGTAACTGTCAAGTTCTGGGTACCCACTGAGTTCTGTGTAAAGAGGGGGTTAGGCTTGGGGTCCAACAGACCCAGACCAACAGCACCTCTGTCCCTCCCAGGGTGGTGTGACAATCCTTGGAAATAACTACACGGCCAGGGCCAACTCGGTACTGGGCACACAACACACGATCCATCAATGGTGGTGGGCACCCCTGTCTCTTCCTTCCTTCCTTAATAAAGACATCTCAGGGTGAAAAGGGGATGGCGCTAGGCAATACTAGGGTGGAGTGGAGGGTCTTTAGGGTGTACAGCCAGTGTGGAAATCCACAGACCTGAGGGTGGGCCAGCAGGAAGGAATTTGGGTGAGGATGGTCTTTAAAAACCCAACAGAACAGAGTGGTTACTGACGCCCTCTCTTGATACTTAAGAAGGGAAAAAGAATCAGCTTCAAAATCTAAGACAATGGATTGTAGTATCTTTGATGGAATTCAAACTCAGCCTGAATTCTGGGACACATTATGAAACAACTAGTGAAGAAAGCTGAGATCATGAAGAAGTTCAGTGTGTTTGTTATTACTTTGTTATTTATTTATTTACAGGGCTGAGCAGAGGGTTGGCATCTAATCTATGCCCCTGAAAGTGAACTGACTGTAGTTCAAAGTGATACCATTTTTCTTCTGATGGTAGGGTTACTATGGGCATCCTAGGAATATGTCCTGTATGTAGGCTATTTTAGCATCTGGCAGGGCATCCGAGAGTTCTTGAAATCTTCATGAACCGCAGAGTGAAAATACAAACTGAATGTTGGCCAGTTAAGGTAGGATTGGGTTTGGTTGTCTGACCAGCAGTGAATCTGGTAAACCCATGCAATTGTCAATATTTGGTTTAATCTACAAAAATGGCTATTTCATATGTTCCACCTACTATTTGTTGGACTAGGGAACCATCTACTTCCCTTCCCACACAAGGGTTCTGTATTGCTGTGAAAGTCTGCTTGTTCATTGGAATGTGAACTTCAGCCGCCACAGTGCCTAGTGAAACAAGCTCCGATTCTGGGGTCAGAAGGCCCTAAGTTCAAATCCTGACCCTGCCGCTCCCAAGATTCAGGAAGGAGCATGCAAACTGTGGCGCCTGCCCATTGGGGGTTCCTGCCCTCCTCTCTGCTGAGGGTCTTTGGTCTGTAACCGGGTCTCCATTGTACTTGGTGTGAAGGATTGAGTGGGGTTGAGGCTGGAATGTGTAGGGTAAGAGCTGGAGGAGCAGGAAGGGGCAGAGCACTGGGTCTAGGATCCAGGGAGGAGCTAGGGTAGGGTTGGGACAGTGGATAAGGTCACATCATGGAGAGGTGCCAGGCAGGTGCTGTGAGCTGAGCAGTGTTGGAGGCAAAATGGAGACATCAGCTGAGGCTGGACACATAACCCAGGGCACCCACCTGTCTCTTCAATATGCTGTAAACCCAGCCATTCCCCACCTCAGTGGCCTTCAGCTGCAAGTCTTCATCCTCCAGATGGAGGGTCTGCAGGCGAACCACAGTGCTGGGCTGGACAACTGTTTCGGCAGCATGCTGGGCTTGTTCTGGGTCTGGGATGAAGGGTCAGTGGCCAGCTGGACATGCTTCCCTCAAGGTGGGAGGTCAGAGCTTCCTAAGGTGTGAGTGAAATCAGGCCTTGCCAGTTAAGGCCTAAGCTCAGAATTGGCACCCTATCACTTCTGCCAAAACCCCACTGACCAGAGCAGGTCACATGGCCAAGCCCAGTATAAATGGCGCAGGGAAGTGCATGGGCCTGAGCAGGGGGCAGAGGAACGGGAGTGAATGATCACTGCAGGATAATCCAGGCCACCACTGTGTTCAAGACCCGTGCAGAGTCAGCAGGCACTAGAGCGAGTGTCCAAGCCTGCCGAGAACTTCTCTTTACAAAACCAGGGACACACTGCCGGGTGGCTCTAAGAGTTTCTAGTGATAAAAATGGCAGCTCCCATTCTACCTTTGCTGTGAGCCACTTGCATTTCAGCCAGGCTTCAAATGAGCCCCAAGTGGGTTTTACCACTCCACTTTCCAGCTGAAGACACTGAGTTGTAGAGTGGTTGGCAGCTTACGCTGGCCCACAGGTATTCCACACGATATTCCACACAGTATTCCACAAGGTATTCAACACAATATTCCATGTGGTATTCCACACTATATTCCACACGTTATTCCACACAATATTCCACATGGTATTCCGCACAACATTCCACATGGTATTCCACATGATTTTCCAAACAGTATTCCAGACAATATTCCACACGGGATTCCACACAATATTCTACACAGTATTCCACATGATATTCCACACGGTTTTCCACAAGGTATTCCACACAATATTACACAAGGTATTCCACATGGTATTCAACACAATATTCCACATGGTATTATATACAATATTCCACATGGTATTCTGCACATTATTCCACACAATATTCCTCTACACTCTGCAACTACAATTCCAACTCTGTGTGGAATATTCCACATATCGTGTGGAATATTCCACATATCGTGTGGAATATTGTGTGGAGCACAGTGAGGAATACTGTGTGGAATGCTGTGTGGAATACCCTGTGGAATACTGTGTGGAATACCGAGTGAAGTACTGTGAGGAATACCGTGTAGACTACCGTGTGGAATATTGTGTGGAATACCATGTGGAAGGCCATGTGGAATACTGTGTGGAAAACCATGTGGAATATTGTGTGCAATACCATGTGGAATACCATGTGGAATATTATGGGAAATATTGTGTGAAATATTGTGTGGAATACCGTGTGGAATATTTTGTGGAGTACTATGTGGAATATTGTGTGGAATACAATGTGGACTACTGTGCACAATACTGTGTGGAATACTTTGTTGGACACTGTGTAAAATACCATGTGGAATATCATGTGGAATATTGTGTGGAATACCATGTGGAATACGTTGTGGAATATTCTGTGGAATACCATGTATAATATGGTGTGGAATATTGTATGGAATATTATGTGGAATACCATTTGGAATATTGTGTGGAATACCATGTGGAATACCATGCAGAATATTATGGGAAATATTGTGTGGAATACCATGTGGAATGCCGTGTGGAATACCGCATGGAATATTGCATGGAATATTGTGTAGAATACCGTGTGGAATATTGTGTGGAATACCATGTGAAATATCGTGTGGAATATTGTGTGGGATATTGTGTGGAATACCTTGTGGAATACTGTGTGGGATACCATGTGGAATACTGTGTGGAATATTTTGTGGGATACCATGTGGAACACCATGTGGAATATTTTGTGGGATACTGTGTGGAATACCATGTGGAATACTGTGTGAAATACCATGTGGAATATTGTGTGGAATACCATGTGGGATACTGTGTGGAATATCATGTGGAATATTGTGTGGAATACTGCATGGAATACCATGTGGAATATCGTGTGGAACACCATGTGGAACACCATGTGGAATATTGTGTGGAATACCATGTGGGATGTTGTGTGGAATACTGTGTGGGATAACGTGTGAAATACCATGTGGAATACCGTGTGGAATATTTTGTGGAATACTGTGTGGAATATTCCACATATCTATTCCACATACCATGTGGAATATAGTGTGGAACACAGTGTGGAATACTGTGTGGAACACCGAGTAGAATATGGTATGGAATATTGTGTGGAATAACATGTGAAATACCGTGAGGGATACCGTGTGAAACACCATATGGAATACCATGTGGAATACTGTGTGGAACACTGTGTGGAATACCATGAGCAATACCGTGTGGAATATTGTGTGGAATACCATGTGAAATACTGTGTGGGATACTGTGTGAAATACTGTGTGGAATACTGTGTGGAATATTGTGTGGAATACCGTGTGGAACACCGTGTGGAATATCATGTGGAATACTGTGTAGAATATTGTGTGGAATACCATGTGGAATACAGTGTGGAATGTTGTGTGGAACATGGTGTGGAATACTGTGGGGAATAGCGTGTGGAATATTGTGTGGAATACCATGTGAGATACCGTGTGGAATATTGTGTGGAATATTGCGTGGAATACAATGTGGAATAATGTGTGGAATACCATGTACAATACCATGTCGAATACAGTGGGGAATATTTTGTGGAATATCGTTTGGAATACCTTGTGGAATATTGTATGGAATACCATGTGGAACACTGTGGAATACTATGTAAAATATTGTGTGAAATACAGTGTGGAATACCATGTGGAATACTGTGTGGAATACCGTGTGGAATATTGTGTGGAATACTGTGCAGAATACTGTGTGGGATACCATGTGAAATGTTGTGTGGAATACTGTGTGGAATATTTTGGGGAATACCATTTGGAATATGGTGTGGAATATTGTGTAAAATACCATGTGGAATATTGCATGAAATACCATGTGGAACATGGTGTGGAATATTGTGTGAAATACTGTGTGGAATACTATGTGAATACTGTGTGGAATGCTTTGTGGAATACCGTGTTGAATATTGTGTGAAATAGGGCATGGAATACCATCTGGAATACCGTGTGGAATATTGTGTGGAATACTGTGTGGAATAACTTGTGGAATATAGTATAGAATACCATGTGGAATACCATGTGGGATATTGTGTGGAATACCATGTGGAATATTTTGTGGGATACTGTGTGGAATACCATGTGAAAGATTTTATGGGATACCATGTGGAATACCATGTGGAATATTCTGTGGAATACCGTGTAGAATATTGTGTGGAATACCATGTGGAATACTGTGTAAAATATTGTGTGAAATACTGTGTGGAATACCGTGTGGAATATTGCGAGAAATACTGTGTGGAATACTGTGTGGAATGTTGTGTGGAATACTGTGTGGAATATAGTGTGGAATATTGTGTGGAATACCGTGTGGAATACCATGTGCAATACCATGTGGAATATCATGTGGAATACCATGTGGAATGCCATGTAGAATATTGTCTGAAATACCGTGTGGAATACAGTGTGAAATATTGTGTGGAATATTGTGTGGAATACCTTGTGGAATATTTTGTGGAGTACCGTGTGGAATATTGTGTGGAATTCGATGTGGACTACTGTGCACAATACCATGTGGAATACTTTGTTGGACACTGTGTAAAATACCATGTGGAATACCATGTGGAATATTGTGTGGAATACATTGTGGAATATTCTGTAGAATACCATGTATAATACGGCGTGGAATATTGTATGGAATATTATGTGGAATACCATTTGGAATATTGTGTGGAATACCGTGTGGAATACCATGTGGGATATTGTTTGGAATACCGTGTGGAATATTGTGTGGAATACCATGTGAAATATTGTGTGGAATACTGTGAGGAATACCATGTGGAATAGTGTTTGGAATACTCTGTGGAATACCATGTGGAATATTGTGTGGAATAACGTGTGGAACACCACATGCAATATTGTGTGGAAAACACTGTGGAAACCATGTAGAATATTGTGTGAAATATGGTGTGGAATACCATGTGGAATAGTGTGTGGGATATTGTGTGGAATACCATGTAAAATATTGTGTGGAATGCCATATACAATATTGTGTGGGATACCATGTGAAATACCATGCAGAATACTGCATGGAATACTGTGTGGAATAGTGTGTGGAATATTGTGTAGAATACCATGTGGAATACCACGTGGAATATTGTGTGGAATACCATGTGAAATACTGTGTGGAATACTGTGTGGTATATTGTGTGGAATCCATGTGGAATATCATTTGGAATATTGTGTGGAATATTGTGTGGAATACCATCTGGAATAATGTGTGGAATACCGTGTGGAATATTGTGGGAAACACCCTGTGGAATACTGTGTGGAATATTGTGTGGAATACTGTGTGCAATACTGGGTGGAATTTTGTGTGGAATACCATGTGGAATACTGTGTCAAATAAGGTGTGGAATATTGTTTGGAATACCATTTGAAATATTGTGTGGAATACCATGTGAAATACAGTATGGAATACAGTGTGGAATACTGTGTGGAAAACTGTGTGGAGTACTGTGTGGAATACCATGTGTAATACCGTGGTGAATACCATGTGCAATACCGTGTGAAATATTGTGAGGAATATTATGTGGAATACTGTGTGGAATATTGTGTAGAATCCTGAGTGGAATACTATGTGGATTATTGCACATAATATTACCACATTCCACATAATAATACCACAAGGTATTCCACAGGGTATTCCACATGGTGTTGAAAATAATATTCCACACGGTATTCCACACAACATTCCCTATGGTATTTCACACGGTATTCCACACATTATTTCACGCAATATTCCATGCAGTATTCCATACAGTATTACACACAGTGTTTCACATGGTATTCCACAAGGTATTTCACACAATATTCCACATGGTATTCCACACGGAATTCCACATGGTATTTCACATGGAATCCCACACAGTACAGTATTCCACATGGTATTCCACACAATATTCCACACAGTATAACACACGATATTCCAAATGGTATTCCACATGGTATTCCACACAATATTTTACACAGTATTCCACATGGTATTCCTCATGGTATTCCACACAGTATTCCACACGGTATTCCACACAATATTCCACATGATATTCCACACAGCATTCCACATGGTATTCCACATAATATTCCACATGGTATTCCAGCCGGTATTCCACACAATGTTGCACACGGTATTCCACACGATACTTCACACGGTATTCCAGATGGTATTCCTCACAATATTCCACATGGTATTCCATGCAGTATTCCACACAATACTCCACACCATATTCCACACAATATTCCACATCATATTCTAGCCGGTATTCCACACAATATTCCATATGGTATTCCACACAATATTCCACCTGATATTCCACACAATATTGCACATGGTATTACACATGGTATTCCACATGTTATTCCACACAGCATTTCACACGGCATTCCAGATGGTATTCCACACAATATTCCACACAATATTACACACAATATTCCACGTGGTATTCCAGACAATATTCCACACAGTATTCAACACAATTTTCTACACGGTATTCCACATGGTATTCCACACAATATTCCACATGGTTTTCCACACAATGTTCCACACGTTATTCCACATGGTATCCTACACAATATTCCCCGCAGTATTCCACACAATATTCCATATTGTATTTCATATGGTACTCCTGATGGTATTCCACACAATATTCCACACTGTATTCCACACGATATTCCACACGATATTTCCACAGTACTCCACATGATATTCCACACTATTCCACACAATATTCCACATGGTATTCAGCACAGTATTCCACATAGTATTTCACATGGTATTCCTGACAATATTACACATGGCATTCCACACGATATTCCACACTGTATTTCACATGGTATACCACACAATATTCCACGCAGTATTCCACACAGTGTTTCACACGGTATTCCACATGGTATTA